TATGTGAAACAACATAAATCTTAATTTTGTAACCTGGCAGAATACCTGAATGAGCTGGATTGTAGCAACTAAAACAGCAGAATCTATATTTTGGTGCCAAGAAAACAAATTTGACAGTTATGAGATAAAATGTGGAAACAAAACGAATCTTTGTGTATGAAAATATGTTCTATGATTGATACTTGCCTTGTCTTAGGTTATGTTTTAGTAATGAAGTAGGAATTTCCCTGTACTTGGCAGTCATCTTTCACATACACTCTGGAGGTGCTCTTCTGTAACTGGCAAAAGCAGCTTTATCCATTGAGAGTACTATATTTGGTCTGTTAAGTCATGTTAACCTGGACCTTACGACTTGATACCTTTTCAGTTGATTAAAGAACTTCTTTTGGTTGTTTTCTTAAGGTCCTTTCCTTTCTCTCCATATCTTTTCCTATATCATGCCTGGATTAAATTTCCCAGCCCAAATGTCTTTTTCTTTTTCTTCTGAATGATTCTTGAGCACGTACCTGGGATTTTAGAGTTGTGTTTCTTTTATGGCCTCAATTTGCTTTATTGAAGTGTGGAAAATACAATTGGATGGAATTAATCCTTTTTCAGCTGATGTAAACATAAGATGGATATGGACAATGGCTAGCTTTATTTATGTTATGTGTAACAATTTTTAGTAATATTTGGAATAAAAAGTTGCCAGATCTCTCTGAGATTTGTTTTTACAAAAACAGAACACCCCACCCCCTTCTGGCAGTGAAACATTATGTGTATTGAAAATGAGACTGTAGCAGGCAGTGGAGTTCTTGTGCTGTGAATCTCACCATTTGCATTGCCTTGTTTTATACTGGTTAGCATTGCAGTCATACTTTTTCAGGGTGGTGCTGCTTGATTGAATTGGGCAATTTCTGTAGAAATGTTTTTTAATTTCATAATCTGTTAGCATTCATCACGTTACTGATTTAAACTGCTGAAAGTAATGTCTTGGTTTACTTTCTTGTTTGCGGTGTGGGCAATGCATAATGGGATCACTGAATGAGGAATGTATTATACAAATGTCAACTATTACTGGTTTTCCCTTGAGAATATTTCTGGATTAATTTTGAGGGGAACACCTTCCCCTGGACAGATATAGAAGATTTTGAGAAATTGGTCAAGGCTTCCTGACTAATAGACTCATGATTCAACTGACTAGTTCTGGCATATGTCAGAATCACAGAAACTACTTGCAAAATGAGCTTGCAGTTTGTGGACAGAACCACACACACGTGGTTGTTTGTGAATATGGAGACTGTTCTTTTCCTCTTTGTATAATTCTCCTAATGTCAGGGTCTGTATGATGGGGAACATATACATATCTAGGAGATGACTGGGCTAGCACTACATTTGCAGGGAAGATATGCTGGATTTTCTGATACTTGGTAATCATAAGGGGCCAGAAAGAACAAGAACACAATGGTGGGTAGAAATAATTTTAGCAATACCTAACAAAAATGGTTGCAGTGAGCTTCTTTGTGAAGAATTTTTTTATTATTATTATTCCTTTTATTTTGTCAAGCAGGTTCTATACAGTTCGCTACAGAGAAAAGGATAAAGACAAGAAATGGGTTTTTCAGCTTTGCCCAGTTACAGAAACAGTGGTGGACAATCTGAAGCCAAACACAGTTTATGAGTTTGGAGTTAAAGACAACGTAGAGGATAGTATTTGGAGCAAGACTTTCAATCATAAGACAGTGCTGTCTAGTAAGTATTTGGCAATAATTAATCAAATAACTACTCAGTTTGACAGTATTTTTTCCTCTATTGTGGTATTACTTAAAGTAAGCTACTGATCAGGCTTTCATTGTTTAAAAGATATTCCTTATGTCCCTAACAAATTCCTTTAGGAATTGGTGAAACTAGAGATAGTTTGTGTTTGAAAAACTGCCACCTACTCTTCCGAAAGGTGTTCTCTTCTCATTGCAAATAGTAAAGGATCTGCTGCAGGTTGGTAGAACTCTAACAGCAATTACTTTAGATACGCATAAAGTGTTGAGAATGTATGTTTATACTTTTGACTGGATTCCAAGCTTTTTCCTTGAGCCTTGAATAATAAGATCATTACTAATTTGAGTTGATGGAAAGTATTATCCTTGTTTGAATCTTTTGTATTTGGTTTTACATTCAAACTGGTTAAAAGCTAGACAGGCCCTGTCCTATCCAGCATGCATCACAATTGGCCCTTTCTGACTCTGCAGGAAAGTTGATTTTGAAGCTAATTTTTAGTGAAGGGATTACATAAATTGTGTTTGAAGCATATGTTCCCATGTTCTCTCTCTTTTGTTTGGGTTTTCATGGAGGCAGTGTATAGCATCTCTGGCTGTTCTTTCAGTCATATTTTAAGCTTTTTCTCCAAAGTCCCAAGACAATGCAGGCAAAGTGACATCAAATTAACCCTTCAAAAAACATGTACTGCTCAAAGAATCACTGCTATCAGTGGAGGAAACAGGCAGCAGCAGAGTCTTCCTCCTTTTAAAGAGAGGAAGAGAGGACTTCATAGACATTGTACAATTTCATTTACTTTTCCTCAAGCATTTACATAAACCATGATTTCTGAGCATGATGTTGATCAGAAGATGCTGCAAACTCCTGTGCTCAGTATTTCTAACTTGAGTCAAAATGTGAAGAATGGGAAGTCTCCTAAAAGAGCCTTATCCAGATAAGATTTCCAACTGAAATTTGATTTGGACCTCAGTTTCAAGTTGTAGGTGATTTACCCAACTCAATATACTTGAGGATAAGGGAGGGGAGCAGTAGGATGGCTTGTAAAACTCACTGCAAAAGCCCTCATATTTCCTAGTAAAGAACTTCGCTGTCCATCATCATAAATTAGAAAGCTGTAACTTTGAAGTACCTGCCCAGTGCCCATAGAATCATTTCAGCAATCCAGAATAATGCCATTGTTATACCATGAGCTTAAAGTGGAGAATGGTGGTAGTCTTTTCTGATACCTGCCTCACAAAAAGAAACTCTGCTTCATAACTCTAAAGAAGGCTTACTAAATGGCTGATTTTCCTACATTCTAAAAATTTTAAAGTCATTTGTAGAGCAAATGCCAGAATATATTTGAGCACTTAAAATAGGAGGGAATGAAGAGTTCATAGTACTTATAGTTTAATACTGTGTTCAAGACTGATTGAAATGTCCACTGGCATCACCAAATTTGCTCTTTCTATATAATATATTTCTAAATGCTGTTTCTTACAGGAACTGTACATTTTAAATAGGCCAGAAGAATCATTCTTGTAGGTTATGGAGACAGATTGAGTTGGGTTGAAAGATACTGTCTTGTAAGAGTTTGTATTCTATTTAGATGAAATTTCTTTTTCCTAGAATGTAGACTTTTGTACTCAGTGGGTGCTTCTGCAGGAACTAAATCCAGGGAGCTTGCTATTATCCTGTACTTCTATGTTCTGGTCTACTGATAATGTATCTTGTAATCAGAAAGTTGGCAGCACCTTTCAGAGTCAAGCCTTTCATACTGACAGTGGGTAGTAGGTAGATACAGAAACTGTGGGCAGTAAACAGAGAGTAAACATTTATTATAGATTTGTAACTATCTATCTGCATAGGAGTTTACCAATCAGCACAAATGGCCACTTTTTTTCTGTTTTAACTTACTGTCTTATAGCAATTCAAGGTCTTTTCGTATATTAAGAAGCATCTCAACCTAAACTAAACATCCTTCACTGAAAATTTTCTTCACTCACCAAAGAATATATAAATTACTATAAACAGAAATTCCTGTTGCATGTTCTTGTATTTGTTGAATCCAGAGGCCAAATTTTTGTTATATACTAAACATATTGGGAGGGGTTGAGAGGAGAGTCTGGTTTTAATTCGTGATTTCAGGAAGACATAAAAGGCATGGCAAATTTTCAACATTTATTTAACCAAATATATCAAAAGAGATGAAAGTAGATTATTTCTGACCATCTTAACATGATTTTCTCATGAAGTCAGTGTGAAACTTTTGTCAGTTTTCCCTTGTCTTTAGGCCAATAGTAGGTCCTGTTCCTGAGAAGTATCAAGCACTTTGAAAGATTTTTTTTTTCAGGATAGCGTGTCAACTTAAATGTCTCTCAATTGATATATCTTTATAGTTGAATTTTTTTCTATTGCTTATCTGTTTGGGGTAGAATTGTGAAGAAATATGATAGCATCTAGCTTGGTTCTTGTTTACACACCTGTCAATGCAAGGGGAGCAGAAAAGGGTAAATATGGAAGATATAGACAAAGTTTGAAGCATCATACCAGATTGTAAGAGTTGCTGGGAGGAACTGTTTCTCCTCTGTACTTAACAGCTGCATCACAAGAAACTTCTAATACTAAGGAGCTAAGAGGAAAAACCTAAGAGAAAAATCTCAAAGATTAAATCCATGAGTTACTTTGTTCATATGTTGAGATAAAAGAAACCATGTCAGACCCAAAGAGAAGTGACATGCCTACTCTGTATTGCAGTGATAAATATATATTTCTTTTAGAACAATGCACTTAAAAGCAAGACTAACTATTGGAGACCTTAAAACGTGCTGCTTTTAGCCAGTCCTAGTACCATCCCGACAGATAGAATGCAGAAATTCCTCTGTCAAGTTTCTTCCTTGTGTATTAATGTTGTGGTTACATTAAATTAATTAAAAAATCCTCTTAGTCACCTCTAACTTCTCCTTAGTAAGTCCCAACGACCACCTCAGCTCTCTTACCCTGTGTTGTAGAACAACAAGAGTAAGTTTCATGTCCTCTCTGTCAAAATGTGAAGAGGTGGCTTTGCAGATGAATTAATTAATCTGGAGAAACAGGACCAAACACAACTGATGTGTTTTATACCTTACTATTAAGTTTCCTAACTTTCTTGGCTATTGAAAAAGGTGAATAAACTTGGTTTGTTTTGCTTTGGACAAAACAAAAAGTAATTCTGTGTATTTATTTCTCTTTCTGTCAAATCAGGTAAAAAAGTAAATGGACAACTCCAGAATATGTACAAGTTGGTACCTAATTCCCAAACACAGGTATGCAAAACAGTCTTATTTTTTTATACCATATTTGTATGTTGCATGGTCAAATTTTTGCTTCTCTGTTAAATTGAGAAAGAGGTTATGGCCACAAATTGCCAATATAAAAAAAATCTGTTAAGTCTAAGACTAGATAACTGTATGGAGAAGTGTTTATATGTGTGGATTGATGAAATGATTGTGAACTGTAGCAGAGATGATTACATATACTGATTCCAGTTTAACAAAGATGAAGCTGATGGTTTCCATGTGTGAATTCTAAACATTAAAATTTGCTTATCCCTTTGTAGTAGTCAGGTTTGTTAAACTATGATATTTGTGGTGGTCAGTTAATTTTGTGATAAAGTAATGCTCTTATCTTAGCGTAATCTTGTATATACTCAGGTCTTCTAAAATCATTAGTCATCCCATTGAATTCACTGATATTTGTCATATGTGAGGCAAGTGTTTGCAGAACCAGAGGGAGCTGGAAAGGGCAAGCTAACTTGCTTATCGAGATTGCTAGGCAGTTCATTAAATCCTTGCAGGTGGCAAGGTAGAATTTTTCACTGTTTCATCAAAGCATTTGAAGATTTTTGTAAATAAATATCAATATTTGTTAATTTCCTCATTTTTTTTCTCATTTGGCATTTGCCATAACAGCTATCAAGTAAGCATGTGTGGGTTTCATATGTTCGTGGATTTACATACAGAGATACTTTTTGCTTCTAAGAGCTAAAGCAGAAATGATGGATCTGTAGATTGAACCTGTTATTAGACTAGTTTTAATGCAGTGAAAAGTAGACATTTTATTTGTAACTTTTGAGCATTACTTCCTGTACTATGAGATTCAGTCGGTTTCTTCATATTTCCTTTCCTTAATTTTTCATCAAAGTGCAAGTTTCCCAAGAAAAGTTCTAGAAATCATTGTTACTTCAGACATTTTAATGGGTTGACTCATGAATGATGATTATTATAAGGGAACAATCCGTTCTTCACAATTCTCTTATGTCTCTGATTTTCCAAGTGTTTTCTTGGTAGGAAATGGTCATGTATGATTTCTCATTGTTCACTCTTTGTTTCATACAGTATTGTAAACAGTCTGTAATTATCAGACCTGGAATTCATTTGGGAATCAAACCACAGTCCATTACATACATTTTCTTATAGGAAAAATTAGGTATTCATTTAGGACTGTAATACTTTAATTACAGCATTATCTACTTAGAGCAGTATGATGCTTAGGTTATTGGAAACACAGTCATGTCTCACATGCAAGAGGAGATGTTTTATCTGTGAATAATATGAAGCCAGTTGATCAGATACTCAGGAAGGTGCTCATTTCATTATGTTGTTGCTGAAATAAACTTTACCGTTCTTCCCATTGGTCCCATAAGCATGTTTAAAGTTACATGTGGCAGCCCAAAACCAGGTAATTCATTCTGGCATCTGGAGTGCAAGCTGAGTTCTTTTCTTCCTCTTAGCAAACCCTGTGTGCCAGGACCCTGACTCTGTTATGCTGCTTCTGTGGAAGTAGGGATTCTGTTTATGCAAGAGAAGTCCTGAGAAAGTGAGCTAAAACAGTTTTCCAAATATTTGCACAGCTTAAGCATGAAAGGACGACTGGAGCCAGCATCTAGCCTTTTTAGTCAGCTTCACAGGGCTTAGCTCCAGAGCAGTATTGCTTTATCACCCTCCACAGAAATATCGTGAAAACATTCCGTAGATTATTCTAAAACTTCTGTTATCGTTCTCGCTTTAGTGGTGCAAAAAGCCATAAAACTAAGACTGGGAACAGATAGCGGCCAGCTCTTAAGTTTACGTTATTACTTCAGTTTCCACAGCATTAGGTGGGGTATGTTTCAGTGGTGCAATCACATCATCTGTGAAAAGCCAGAATGAGCGTTATTTAGGTCAAGCTTTGTTTGTGCCTTACTTTGCTCCAAAGACACAACTGGCTCATATCAGCATGGTTCTAACTCTTCTCTGTAAGGAGACATTTTTAAAGGCTGTTTATTAAAGCAACATTACGCATCCATCTAGTCATTCTGCCCTTTCAACATCGGTCACATATCAGCTTGTGTGTCTTTTGGCAGGTTCATCCTTTAAGTTTGACTAAGCTGCTGGGGCTGAGAGCGCTACAACTAGTGAGAGAGGGGAAGAAAAGGAGAGCTCTAGGGATGGTCATTCTTTTTCCCTTCATAAACAATGAATGGTGGTAGGGTGGACAGAATGCAGCAGAAATTTATTTCCTCTTCTGTCTGATTAGGTTCCTGTAATTTCATAATGTCAGTCTGAACAGTGGACGGTTCCTTGATTTTTCCAGCCAAAAAGCAGGACTCTTAGCTTCTGTAGTTTTTTAAACTCTAGAAGAAAACGTGCCTGCTCTTCCAAAACTTACCCAATCCAGGTTGACTGTAATGCTTCCTGGAGGAGTCTCTTACATGTATGCCAGTTATTTGTGGCCTTTTGGAGTATTGGAATATAAGAGAGGAATACAAGGGTCTCTAAAAGTAATGTTTCCATATGCCATTTGGCAGAATGTCTGACAACTGCAGTCCTTTCTGCAATATGCCGTAGGTGTATGGTCAGAAGTTAAGATGCCTGACTTATGGTATAACTTATGTCTCTAATTTTCATCTGAAATGAGGAAATGCCTTATTTGCCATCTTCATTCATGGAGATGCCACAGTCATTTTAATAACTAACATTCCTAATACCTATATGCTTTATATTCTCTAGAAAATACAGTTAATAGTGCCATTCCTACAGATGATATGCTGATATTTCTGAAATAGTTTGTCCAAGCAGTAAATTATACTAGACATAGAAATATCTACAGTAGTCACTTTTTGGAGACTGAGAAAGAGAGGATTGACAATATGGTGGAAGATTTCAAGTGCAGCCCTTGCAGATTCGTGCAGGTGAGCAGTGTAGTGACAGCAGCTGCGGAACATGGATTTCATGTCAATGACTTGTTCTTGAGTGAAAAACTAAATTTTGACTGTATTTGCATGTATTGAGCATTTTTACATTGCTGTCATTACCATCATCTAGTATTATTCAACAAAGAAAGTATGCTCTTGTCAATATAAGAACCTTTTACTAGTAAAAGGACTGATAATAATAATGATTAGAAGTTCCACACTGGAGCTACATGAGTGCTCACGACAACTTGAGAGATATTTATTTGATTATAGGGCTCCTGATGAGAAATACAACAAAATGAACACCTGCTGTTGCTAAATACATTTCATCCCACTTGTTAGTCACATGAATAGCAGGGTTACTTCAAAAGTGGACCATCGGCAAAATAGAAAGGTATACCTTGTTAATAATAAAGGAAAAATAGTAAGCAATAAAGAAGGAAGATAATTTTGTATCCTTCATTAATGACAATGATTGAAACCTCCACTTAATTTCAAACTATGTTCATGCCAGTGCAAAACTGCTATTAGGAAGCAGAAAGTGATGGCTTTCATATTCCCTTTCATTTCCCCTTGTTGAGGGGAAATCATCTCCTCGAGATTTGTCTTCTTCCAGCTGCTTAGACTTCGGTATATGTTTGCTGTGTACCCAACCATTGCTTTTAAAGCTTTTTTTTATATATATATATATATTTAGAATAGAACAAAAATAGTTATCCTTAGGTAAATAATTATATCTTTGTCATCAAATGCTGAATTTTCATGAAGTAGACCAGATGTCATGAAGTGCAGAATGAACAATAACTGATTCTGACTTTAGTGGTGTACATTTAACACAGAGAGGTAATTGTTTGAGTTATTTTCTTTCTCGTAACTCAGACATAAGTGAAAGGAAATCCACTTTTAATATATTTAGCATTTTTATAGTGCTGACATTACAATCTTCCTCCTCTCATCACCTGAGTGCATTATTAAGCTTTCGGTAGTTGTTTCTGGTACCTATGTGTGGTAGTGAATACAGATTTATAATCTTTGGGATCAGCTGTTTTCTTCCATTTAATAAATGTGGGGTCCATTCATGTGTTCCTTATTTTTGTGGTATCAAAATCCTGGAAAAGATTCACAGTTAGGCAAAAAATAATCTGGGTCAAAGACAAGTGAACAGCAGAAAAGTCCAAGTATTTAGCATAAAAATGTCAGAAGAACATGGGTGGCTGGCCAATTATACTTTGGAAACAATTTCACCAAATAAAATGGCTCTGAGATAATCTACTTTAAGCAGACTATGCACCCAAGAGTGCTGCTAGTTTACAGATGTACACCTGGTTCTGGAATAGTTTGTGTTCTAAATATACTGTGCCTGAGAATATAATTATATCCTGTGACCAAATTTGTAATTGCATATGTTTCAGATGTTTTGTTGTAGTTAAATTTCAGCTTTTCTTAGCTTTCTGGACTACTCCACAGTGAGTGCTCAAGAGATTCTTAAAAGAAAAAAGGATTGGGGATTCCTAAGCTGTCAGATACTGTGTTTTTATGAAGCAAAACATCTCAAGCTGAAAAAAGGAGATCAAAATGCACTATTACTATACTAGCCCATGGGAACTGAAGCAATAGCGTAACCTTCAGTGACTAGGGCCAGAGCCATAGTCAGTGTTAACTTGGGGCAGGCACGGTATTGGATTAGAGCCCTCTATTTTTGTTACTGAGAAAGCTCAATGACTATTATGGCAATTATCCCAAGGCTTTTTTTTTTTTTCTTCTTCTCTCAGCTTACACTGCGTGATAATAAGAGGTTGGTCCCTGTCACAATAATCAAACAAGGTAAATTTGTATATTTTTTAATTGTTTCTTATGTTCTGCAAGAGTAACTTAAAATGAAAAAAAATATGACTCTGATGTGAATGTAATGAAAGCCTTTTTTTAGAATAATTGGAACCTTACAAACTATCATATCGTTTAATTACAAATACTATTACGCTATTACCTATCTGTGTTAATAAAACAAGCTATTACACTGCATTATAAACAATGACTTAGTTGAGTCATTGAATGGATACCAATCAGTTCTGATGTCTACTAGTATCCATTCTTTTTCTCTTTCAACTGGATTGTCCAAGTGTGTTGATAGTCAGGCATGAAGGGCAGCACTATGGGTAAGATTCATGCTACCAAACTTTTTGTGGGTATCTTCAGCTAAGTCATTGACTTAGACTCCCTTCTCCTTTACCTGGTCCAGTGGAGAGAGATCTCTACTGTAGACTTAAACATATTGCCCTTTAGAAATACCTGTTTCTCTCTAGTAATGAGAGGTAGTATAATAATGTAATCTTTGAAAATTAACTATTTAAAGATAGCTGATAGAAAATGAGCTGCAGATTAAAATTTGCTAACAGAAATTGTATTCTGCATAATTTTAAGTAACAAAATCAGGCAAAATGGAGGTAGTTCACAGTTCAGGGACAGGAAAACACTGGAGGGTGGTGTGAAAACAAAATGCGGTAATTACCATTAAAATGTGACTAGTGGCATTTACTTCGCATGGGTCTTTTTTTTGAAGACTTGTGAATGGCAGGGTAATGAGATGGCCTGGAGCTGGCCCTATATTAACATAAGCATAGAATATCATTTTTCACCAAGGCTATAAAACTGATATGCTGTGGGAAAGGAGATACACAATTAAGATATGATGTAGAGGAAACACAGTTTGCAGTCTTTTAAACTGAATGTAAATACAGAAAAGATTAGGATGGTGTACTCGTCTCCAATTACTAAGTTGAGGGAAGGTTTTCAGAATGCTGAGGCTTGTCGTGGGTGTGGTTTTGTTTCTTGTTTTGGGTTTTTAAAAATTATTTTCTAATATCTCTGTGTTGTCTCCACAGTTATTCAAAATCGGACACAATCAAAAACTTCAGATAGTTCTTCTCTGCCAGGAGCAATATTAGGTGACTAGAAGATATTTTTATTATTATTCCTCATCTTTGACCTAAAATTAGAACTGTGTAAATACTTTTGATTTTCTTGATCTTGATAGTTATTTCCTTGCATATCAAAGGGCATTTTGCAGATGGTTCAGACGGTAGTCGTTACATTTTTATGGTGGTGCAGATGGTTCAAGGATGATGTAGCCTAAGGGAAACAAAATCATTTTATTGTTGTAGTATTTAAAAGAAGATACTGTCTCTGTTTAAGCCAAGAAATTCTTTCATACTTCAAGTAAAGTTCTTTGGCAAACATACTATCTACAGACACAAACCTGTACTGATATATTAGGCCTTAGTGATGTATATTATAACCTTCCTTGCAATTAGGGCTTGATGTTAGATCTCAGGGCATAATAGTTTCCCTCAAGCATTCAGTTTCATGCTTTCTGTTCTTGTTCGACCTATAAGAAAACAGAGTGTTGGCTTAGAACATAAAAATAGGAAAAAGTCTGTCATGTAGTGCTTAGTGTGGTGAACTGCTGGTCTGCCTGAAATAGACAGGAAAGGCTCACTGCATCATGCATCTTGTGACCAACTTATTCCTGGATTCAGGAGGGTCTTGAGTCCTTTATATATACTTTATACAACTACATAACTTTGGCTGAAGTTTGCTTTGTGTGAGCTTTAATGTATTGATGTAAATCAAACAGATACTTACTAACTGCAGTTGTTGTTGAGTTTTCTTGACCAACTAGACAACATCCCAGCATTTGTGATATTGCAGTACTCCAGGGTTGTATGCTCCAGTATTGAATTGTTTTTAATTCTGATTAATCATGAAATGGTGGTAATACAGTGAGTGGTGTAAAGGGGAAGTAGCACCAAATAGGAGTGATAATTACTGAATAGAACTAACTCACTTCCCAGGTGCTCAGACTAAACTCGCAGTGGGTCAGTAGTACTTGCTCACATATCTCGAAGGGCAGACTGTGTATTTTTCATCTCTTCTGGAGTTAATGGCACACATCTTTCTGTGTAGTGCACCTAATTGTTCCAGGTCTCAATGAAACTCAGCAGAAACTGCCTCCTCTCCTGACAATAGATGACATACCTCAAGCATCCAGGAAAAAACTGGGTAAGCAGAAATGAACTAATTTTGTATTGTTCATGCGCAGTATCAGAAGCGTAGTGATGTGAGATCATGTATGTAAGCAGACAGTCTTTTGGTTTTTTTTTTTCTCTCACATTTTTTTTTCTCTTTATTTAATTAATGACTAGCTTGGACTTGTAAGGATTCACAGAAATTCACTTATTTTAAAACATCTGTTTTTTTAAGGTATTACACAGCCATTTAAAAGAATATGCAGTAGCATATCCATAGAGAAGAGAAGGGAAGCCAATCATGTTTATGGTCTTTAGGGGTTTGGTTTTGGTTTAGAGAGTTAACATGGTTTTTTGATAGGTTATACCTTTCAATATGTTTTTTAAAAATGGAAGTTTGTGTATCAATTTGAAAGTTCAGATTTTCAATGAATTTTACTTATATGAGTTTTAGCTTGAGTATATGTGAGAAATTGTTTCATGAAGAGATTCTTATTTATTATCTGTAAGTAAATCCATGGAAACAATGGTAGCCAGAAATTGGAATATATCAATACAGGTTTCATGTGTATCTTGTGAATATGCCTGAAACTTGCAGGAAAAAGTTAATTAAGGCTTTTGTTTAAAGATCTATAAACTAGCATATCATCTGTGAGTAGCATAATTGTGGGAAATACAGCTATCTTTAAAAACCTTAACAATGCCCCCAGTGCATCTTTCACAGATCCCTTGAGTAAAGTTCTGGAGCTGATGACTGTTGACTTGGCTAGTCATAATACTTGATTTGAACTCCAAACAACTGAGTCAGATATTTTTTCCTTTCTTATTTTTTGCTGTGTTTAATTTACTCTGTTGCTCCATTGCTGGCCATGGTACATTCTCAGACTGGCTTGCTTTGCAGTGAGAAAAGAGCAGTGCTTGTTCCTGTTAAGATACTGTGTATGTATAAGGGTAGAGCTACACAGAAGAATGATATTTGAATGTGTTTGAGTAAGAAAGTGTTTGAACTGGGGCTGACTTCCTTAAATATTAGTATCTGGAAGTATTTACCAGCATTTGACAGACAAATATTGTTAGCGTGATCTGCAGCTACTGAAAATTTTAGTTAAGTGGAAAAACTTAATTGCAGTAGTTACATTACGGAGCATTACTGGTTTTCAGTCATGATGATAAAATTGACAACATTGTTAACTTGATTACTAATATTTTCTTTGACCAGCAAGCATAGAAAACATAGATGTTTATCATTACTAGTTTGGTTTTAACATGTATATGATGTGCAGGTAACAAAGGTACCGTTAAAACTCAGTAGACCGTATTTTGACAAATCTGTTTTTCATATCCCTTACTTTTAGTAAACCATATTTTACGACCTCCAATAATAGTTTTAGATTACAGTATCTAGAACTTTTATGTTCATTTCTTTTTGTTTTCTAACTGTAAAATTATCTCTTTCTACAGAAATACAATGTTGTATTTTCAGATAGGTCCTAAGGTTCAGTAGTGTGCACAGTAAAAATGGCAGAATGTGACTGTGACCAAAAGATCAGGAAAGACAAAGGTAGCTTCAGTTTTCCTAGAGATGTCTAACTTCCTCAGTTGGCTGAACGTAGAACTTGGACTTCTAAATTTAAATCCTCTGATAGGTCTAAAGTAGATAGCTGGTGTGATGCCAGTTTGGAGTGGCTCTTTATGGTAAATTGCACAAACACCTTTGTGAAAATAACCAGGGCAGACAAGTGATGTTTTGTTCTGTTCTGCTTACTATGTGTTCCTTACCAGAGAACATGAAGTACATGAGTGTACACACAAGGGACTACTGATTTTCAAAGGAGTGTGAAATAAGGAAGAGGCATTGCTTGGAAAGTAAAAATACTCTGAGAAATAATTTAAATGTATAAAATAATTGACAGAAAGACATATTATCCAAATCTATACACGTATCCTTCATTGATGCCTGAGAATGGTGTAGGTCTACAATAAATGCAGTAAGGCTTATGTTGTGTGTGAAGTTACAACTAAATAGGATTCACTGACATACTGCAAGTATTCTAATTCTATATTATTTAGAACAGTTAAAATAATGTATTACAGAATATCATATATACTGAATTTTCAAAGTCTTTTTTTCTGTTTACTTAGTAAAAAACTTTGTTGTTTTTTTTTAAAGAGTGGTACTCTAGATAAAAGCCCACAAAATATATTGCATTATTCCTCAGTGGGAAAAAAAACCCCAACAGGTGTATTATTCCCTAATTTTTCCTATATCCACTGCTGGAATATCTTTATATCTGTTGGAATAGAAGGCTATTGTCATACCACTGTAATCATTAGAAATAATGTAAAGGAAAATAAGGACATGACTGGTGCGCCAATTCCATTGTATTTGAAAATTTACTAACTGTTCTTGTATAATGCTTACAGCTATATTACATCTTTGACTTTTGAAAAGTATTTTTACTGTTAATGTTCAAATACTACACAAATGAAAAACACTATAAACTATTTCACTATGCATTGTGAAAGTAATGATTCGTAAGGCGTTCAGTTCCTTGCTGTAAATTTTGTTTTTAAAGAATCTTTTAATTAACAAAACAATACCAAAAATGCATGCATTCAACATAGCTAGATAGATACTTGTGCTGGTTGTGCAGTGGAAGTTCATTGATTCCTAAAGGAGTTCAGCTTTCCACATTTATCCATGTTGATTTACTTTGGCAAACTGAGGTGTGACAGAAATAAATCTGTAGTAGAACAGAGAAGACACAGCTTTGCAGTTACTCTCTTAATGTTTTTGTCCCTGTAGCTAAGAATGAAACTCAAGTATGGCCTGCTGAATCCAAAACACCGGAAGTTCAAGAAATCTCTCCACAGTCCCTCCCAGGTAATGAAAATTCTATTTTTAGAAACTCTGTGGAATATCCTTGCCAAATACATAAACTAAAATTAAATCCATCTTTATGTTGCTTGACCTGCAGTTAAAGGCAGTAGTTGGAAAACAGGAGGATAATGTAGCTGAGTTAGTAGCCATCATTATTATTATTTTCTTCCTTTTCTGTCCTATTAAACTGTCTTTATCTCAACGCACAAGTTTTACCTTTTTGATTCTCTCCCCCACCCCACTGTGGGGGACTTGAGTGAGCAAACAGCTCTGTGGTTGTTATAGCTGCCTGCTGGGTTAAACCACGACAAATATAAAATTTGATCCTAGAATCATATTCAAGGTTATGCGTGTGTGAAATATATGTTAACTTGTATATTTGGAAGACTGAAGTTTTTTGTCATCTGTTTGTGGCTGAAAAAATATCGCTTATTTAAAAGGGCATACTCAGATGTTAATTTCTTAAACTGTTCAAAAACATGAAGTTAAATCATAAAACTCGCAAGATTTACTGTCTTCATTTGCTTAGAAAACAAGCTAATGTAACATAGACTATCAACTTGTGGTAAGACTTTAAAATGAAAAAGGAATTTGAGGAAACAATACAGCAAAGGTTTGCTTTGGTTTAGTTTAGTCATATGTGATCTTGCTGGCATTACTCTCTTCCATCAATAAAGTATTTCCTGGCCAGCTGAAACGGTGTAGCATGTTATTCCTTTGCAATCACACAATTCACACATATGCTGCCCTTAAATATGACTGCGTTTATTTTATTCCTTAAGTATATCAAAGATACCATACTTTACATCATCAGACCAACTCAGTCTTTAATTAAAATAAGCAAGCAAGCAAGCAAACGAACAAACAAAACCCTGCCAAAGAATATGTAGGAAATAAAAAAGATGTAGGATGAAGTAATGCAGCAAAATCATGTAACGATTGACAACCATCTTTCAGATTAAAAAATCCATCTTTTTTTTTTCCTCTGAAAAATGTTTGCAGAATTTTATTTTCCACTCAATAGGTAAGTGTATTTGCAAAATTCTAGGTTTAACCATCAATTCCTTTCTACAAAACCTTCATATGGATAGCTATTTTCTGTTCATCCTAAATTTTGAGAGGAAAACAAAGATGCTCCTCCTATTATCAAAGGGGGCTCTGAATTTTAAAAGTTTAGCATGTGTGTAATAAACAGCTTGCTTTTAATTGGAAACGTGTGGATACTTTTTAAAAAACTGTAAAGAATATTTTTTTCCAGGGTTTTTTGTTTGTTTGTTTTACAGTTTGAATTCTCTTGTGGACTTACACTCTGCAGTTATTTTACTAAATTACTTGCTTTGTCTAAATAACTGCAGAACAAGCAACCTGTAAATATTTTTAATAGAATTTTGCCATTTTGTGAAAGTGAGAGCTGAATGCATAAATTTAGGTAATCGGCTCTCCAGCAAAATCCTGGTCCTCAGGCTTGCATTCATCTGATCAAAATACATCATTCCTTGTGCTGGAATGTACTGGTTAATCAGGTAAACAGTGTGAAATCTGACACCAGAGTTGATCTGTCACCTTGGGAGGAGAGAATCAGTCCACTCTGTTTCCGTTCCTTTGCATTCTGTAATTATGTTTGTGTACCTGGCGTGCAGTAATTCTAACCATAAACACTGTCATCTCTAGACATAGCACAGAATTTTATGTTTATGAAGTTGGATTGTGTGTTTTGTTGTACTTGATAAAAATTGGCAAGTACTGTCTTTTTAGTGACAAATGATATGTAACCATTTGTTAGAACTAAACATGTTCTTACTGTTATCACACCATTAGTTATTTACTGAAATACTTAGAATAATTTTCATCTTCCAATTCATGCTTCCTCTGTGGTTTTGCTTCCATGTCTCTCTTTCTGTGGTGACCATTCCTTTCAGTCATTCTTTGTTGATCACAGTACCAGTGTCCCACGTTAAAGTATGAGCATGTCACACTATTTGCATTAAAGAATGTATGCATTGCGGTTACAGTATTTCTGTTAAAGAGAAAAAAAATAGAGTGGCAGGAAACAGGGAAACGGACATAAATCCTTTAAAAGAAAAAAGTTCTTTGAGTGTAATTTCTGTCTAGCCATTGCATATGCAAAAATAACTTGAATACTTAAGCATTTGAGCCAGACTTTCACAAGTAACTTAAGCAAGAGATCTGAGCACTGGCCTTTTGCAAGGGTTGTATTTGAGAGACAGGGTAATATACAGGCACAATTTATTGAGTTTAGCAATAGGATCTACTCCATTATGTTTCATTCAGACTTTCCTATTTGAAAATCATACTGGAGTCTTTGAGTAATTATTTGTTGTGAAAGGTGTAAGGATTGGTGCCAGAAGTGGCAACAGAATGTTGATTTAAAAGGAGCTGTGTGCTGTAGCAGCTGTTGTGTCATCAGTCCTGCAAGAAGGGAAGAAAGGACCTTGAAGCATTTCAGCAAGCAGACTATCTGAAAGGCTCCTTGAGCTCGGCCGCTCTTGTATTCCACTGGGTCTTTGTCAGAGGGTGTGTTTTCTGATGTGACGTGGTTTGGTAACTTTTTTTGGTGTATTTGTCAGCCAGGCATCCCATCATTTTCTTAATTTCAGGCCTCCCCTCCCTTGGCATGCACTTCCATGGAAAGACTGGTTAGTAAGCTCTTTTCATGCTTTGTTTTTGCCAAGCTTGTAGCAATATTTTCCACTTAGGACTAATTTATTCTTAACAGCACGAATTCATAATTTTTTTTTCTCCTCCTTCAATCTTTAAAATGCTGTCTAATATACCTCAAACTACCACTATACTTTTTCTTTCAGTCAAATCAAGTGTGAGGCTTTTTATGAACTTCGCAGGGAAACTGGAGCTAACCAGCAGTAATATCAGCCTATTTGTCTAGGACAGGGAAGAACTAGTATAAAAGATAAGAACAAGTTATTTCTTTATGCAAGGGATTGTACCAGAAGTTTATCAAAGTAGATTTGTGAGATAGAGAATAGGCTTGAAATGAAAAATACCACCTAAGAATATAAGCCAGGGTTAATATTTCATAGAAATAACTCCTTTGTTGCCATGTTCGCCAAGTTGTCTTCCTGGCCCCTGAAGGCTTCCCCTTGTGCTCATGTGGAATGTGAGGAGTGAGATTATTACTTCCATCATTCCAGTTGTGGAGGAAGATGGGAACATGAATGAGAGGGTCAAGAGAAGTTAGAGGAAAAGTAGTTTAAGAAATGTTGCCTAAATGCCTTTTTGCTGTATTCCATGCTGTGATAGTAAAGTAACTTACCGCGCTTGATTGTGTTAACTATTTACTTTGCAGCTACCATTGAACCAGCACATTAAGCCTGGTTGCACTGGAAAAGTCAGAGGCATTTCTCTCTTTTTATCTAATTAACTTTTAAAGCCTAAACTTTCTGCTTCCTATATCTTTTTTTTATAAAAATGTCCACTGTTGTTCTATGTCATCCCTACAATGTTCCGTGCAAAAGAGGAGAGCCTGGATTCTTTTGTCCCAATGCTAGGCATGCTTTTTCTTGTTCAGCTTGCTAAGTTAACTTAGCTGATGAGAGACATGCTTCATATGAGTGTAAACCATCTGACCTCTAAAAAAACCCCCCTAAGCATAATGAGTTCTAAATTTCTGTATTTATGTTTAATGTTTTGTTGGTTTTGTTTCATGATTACATTTCACCAATAAGAAATGTTAGCTTTTGGAGTACTTCTGAGGTACTTCTGAAGTATGAGTTTGTTAGTTGTTTCTGGGTCTCTTACTGGGTGAATTTTCTCCCACAAGCTTTGTAGAGATAAATTGCTTTAACTTCTGTGTAGAACGAAACCCTCCTTCCACTGATGACAGTAACAGCATTGTAGCTGACTTAGTAGAAGCTGAATTGAGTCCTAATAAGGCAACATCTGTGGAGATTCCAGCTTTGTGGCATTGAAAAGTACCATACTCCAAACAGAAAATAGTGTAATGGTTGTAACTGTAGTAGCATCTATGTAGCTATTTAGAATCTGGAAAACAGCATGTTTTGTTCAGGAAATGTCCATGATCGGTTCTTGCTTGAAGCATGCTCAGTAGATTGTGCAAAAAGCATGGAGACCGTGCTGGAAAAACAAAAGTAACTCTCTTCTGTTGTATGAAAGACAGCAATCTTTTAATAAACTGCATACTAAAACTTAGTGCTATATTGATGCTGATCACCAATATTAAAGGTCATCTCTAAATGCCAGTATGTGCTAAATACTGTGCAATTTGCTCTGTGGAGGGAACTAATGCTCTTATCACATTCAAGGCTGAGACCTTTACCATCCTGGTATATTGATATTCCATATCAATAAATTTTGTCACACTCATAGTTTTGTGTTCTGTATGACTGATAAAACACTATGGGACCTCCAGCAAGATGGAGAGGAAAAAAGTAATCTTGACTTGCATACCGTAGAAATTAAATGTTGTGTGAAACAGCTGGAAGAGTATAATTATGCTCTAGTTTATTAAAATACTGTCAGTGATTCAGTTTAAATACATTTAATGGCTGTGTAATAAACTGCCCATGCTTTACTCTGAAGATGTAGAAGAATGAATGACAGTCAAAAGCGTATTATATTATTACTGGAAAAATGAAAGATCTAAGGTATTATAGGTGAATCTTTATTCTTTTCCTGATAATTTTTATATTAGAACGATTAAACCAAATCCAGAATAACAGGGAAAATATTTGTAAATATTTTATGTAAAATACACTTTGTGATGTAATGGATCTTGTTTATAAAGTATATCATAAATTAATTTGGGAAGTACAGTGTGAGCTTCTGATCCTAGCTTTGCTCTTTGTGACTTATATTTTCCTTTGCTTATGTAAAACTGCAACAAAATAAATCCAAAACATCATACAGACGTCACATCTGAAAACAAAAATAAATATTATTCATGATGGTGTTGAGCTGCTGCAGAAATTTTTCTAATCAGGTGACATAAAATGGTGGTAAGAAAAGCAGCGGGCTTTGGGCAGTAGATAAATAAAAGCTCAGAGGGATTCAAAATTAAATAAAGCTTCTTTCTTCTAGCTCAGTCTGAGAAAAAACATGGACCTGCGGAATTTAAGTCAACGCCTAAACCCGAATTGGTGCAAACTCAAAACATACTGGGTAACTAATGTTGCTGCTTTTTACCTTCTTTGTACATTAAATGCTTTTTTCATCTCCAGCAGAATTTTTCTACTACTTGCTGCACCCCTTTTGTATTGACTCCAAAGGAAGTCCCAATAAAAAATTTCTGGTTCCCTTTGTGTTTCCAGCAACTCACATGTGAAATGTAAAGCAGAATGCATCTAGGGCTGGTTGAACGGTGGTTTTTATACATATGATTATTGCTAGCAAATTTAACTGGGTGATTCAATTTTATGTTTCAAAGTAATATTTTCTGTCTATATGATCTGCATAATTGACATCACATAAAAGTACCATCAGTAAAATTAACCTCAGTGATAGAATTGAAATAATGACCTCCTTGATTTTCTTCTGATGACAGCTTCATTTAGGTAGCATCAACAGTGATGCAAAAGGAAAATCTAACATTGCATCTGACATAATATAATTGTATTTGTCCTGGAGGAAAAAAGAGCTCTACTGATTTTTTTTCATAGACGTGTCTCAGAATGAGAGATTTCTGATCCAAGTAGTAGTATTGTTAGTTTTGTGGTTTGGAGCTGCATCTAATTACTCCATGCATTCAGAATTCTGAATTCTCTGGTGTTGATTTTGTTGCCTGTATTTTAATTGCTAAACAATGCAAAATTATGAGCACAAATTTAAAGTTGTGGTTGTTGGGTTTCAGGGGGTTTTTTGGTTTGTTTGGTTTTTTAACTTTCATTGGATTTTTCTAAAGTGCAGATGGCGTACATACAGGATGATGTATGATAAAGGAAAAGATAATCAGCATTTACAGGACTGAAATACAGATATTCCTCTGAAGAGGACTGCTAATGCTTGTCCATAACCATATTTTTACATAATCCTATTGATTTATGTTAATGTCGTACTCTCTCTTTTGTCTTTTTTCATTTACAGTTGCAACCAGATTTCCAGAATTTACTGAAGCTATAAACCATCAGTCAATCTAATTTTCTTTCTAACTTTTAATCAGTTTTTTAAGCGTAATCAACCTTGCTTGGTTTTTTGCCATGCTTTTAAAGATTAAAATATGAAATTTAATCAAGATGAGTCACTGCTTAATTTCAGACTAGGTGATCATAGTTATTGATGGATGTTCATTATCAAATTCCTGTGATCAATGAATCTTTATATTATGACTAGGGAAAAGGTGATTTCATTCATATTCCACACACCTTTTTAAGTGACAAAGTTATGTGTTGTTTTTCTAGGTTGGAACTACTTTTTTTTTTTTTTAATTAAATATCATTTGTTTCAGGAGCAGTGTATAAGCCAAAATATAGTTCCATACTGTTTCTTCTAATATTCTTAATCAAGTAAAGCCTTGATTATTTCTTTTATCATAGCTTCTAATGAAATACAGCCACTTCCTTCTGGATCCAGAATCTCTGATGCTCCAAAAAGTCCATTGACAGAACTTGGTAATTGCTTTCTTTGTAAATTTGAGTAAACTTGAGTGGAAAATTATCTAATTCTTTTGCTGTTTCTGTGGCTGATGGTTTTTAATGCTTCAGCTGCAATAATACCATTCTGTATGTAAAATATGGTAGCCATTAGCTTTTTTTCACAAAACCTGAAAATTGCTTCTTTCATTCTAAGTCTGGTTTTGCTTTATTGTCATGACAGGATGCTCCAGATTGATGCTTTATTTAAACAAACAAACAAAACCTCGTGAGGATATATGAGGATATATGGGCTAACTTTTATTTATAGAGTGACGATGGCAATATATACTTAGGTAAAATCTGTACTCTTAGTTTTGTAATTTTCTTGGAAGTTCTCCATAGCTTCCGAGACTGACTATATTTCAGAGTTGGAGTACTGTTACAGCCAACATCAGTTCTGTGGGTTTTCATCTAGTTTCCCAAATACTTGTATATTTGGTTAAAATAGTGCCATAACTTGTAGACGTCGTGGTTTAAATATTCGTAAGTGTTTGCTTACTTCTGAATTCATTAGTTGCTTGGTGATGAACTTTAGGACACTTTGCAAAGGCCTGATATTTGAGAAAGTATGGCACTACTCACATTTTCAAAATAGTTTTACCTGTCTTAGGGTCAAAATGTTATGGTCAGAATCTTCTTAAGGGCACAGAGGAAACACACCTTTTCTTTCTTTTTTTAAAAGTTATATTTTATATATATATACACACACACACATTTACATGTGTGTGTATATATATATAGATGTGTATTTACATATATACATGTATATGCATATAAAGACAAGAATTTATTGTTAGTGTAATGGAAATCTTAATGGTCTTATCTAATTCGAGAATCATCAGGAGTCTAGATTGAACTCTTACAGTAAAACAAAGAATATTAGTGCAGGTAGAGTACTTCCATACAGAAAAAGCCTCAATAATAGCAGTAACATAATGAAAATAGTAACACACAAACTTCTTAGTTTCTATGCTTTTTCCTGGTGTTTTGTTCACCCTTCCCCTACACCTTTGGGTCCTAAGCTGGGTGATTTCATGCTTGTGTTGTTTGTGAGTGGGGATATTTCAGCAAGTTATGAGCATCTGAAGCCCTGTGCGGGGAAGAATATGGTGTTCATGCTGATGATTCCTTCCTCCTCTCTCTTTCTTCTGCTGAGAAACACCTTACATCTGAATTTACCATACATGGTGATATTTGTGTATGTAGATACTATTTCTGTGTTCTTGCTGTTACTCCTAAAATAAATTTTGTCCAGCTCCAGGTGTGAGTTTTTATAACTGACCATCACTGAGCTGTTCATGGCATCGGATCTCCAGTGCTACACCTGGTCCCCATCTATTACCATCCCATGCCTGTACTCCTCCATATTCTGTGTCTCCCCTTCTCAAGACCTCTGCTTTCATAACAGGCCTGTATTTCTCTACACTGTGTCATTGTGTTAGTCATAACTATGGAGAAGGCTCCAGGGAGACCTTGTAGCAGCCTTCCAGTACCTGAAGGGGGCCTCAAGAAAGCTGGAGAGGGACTGTTTACAAGGGCATGTAGTGATAGGACAATGGCTTTAAGCTGAAGGAGGGTCGATTTAGATTAGATATTAGGAAGAAATTTTTTACAATGAGGGTGGTGAGGCACTGGAACAGGGTGCTCAGGGAAGACTTGGATGCCCCATCCTTGGAAGTGTTCAAAGCCAGGTTGGATGGGGCTTTGGGCAATGTGGTCTAGTTGAACATGTCCCTTCTCGTTGCAGGGGGGTTGGACTGGATGACCCTTAAAGGTCCTCCAACTCAAACCATCCTATGCTAAATATCTCATTCTACTGAAACAACTGCTTGTTGCTGCTGTCTATATAAACAGCTAATACACTAGTTAACTGGAGTGACCTTTAATCAATATGGATTTATATTTCACTAAGCATTATTCAGGAAGCTATCATATAATAGTGCTGGTTTATTTAGATGACTTAATGAAGTCTGTCAAATTTTAAAATAATTTCCAGGAACAGCTCTTAGTTCTTGAAATGCATATTTGAACCAAATTCATTCTCACATGAAAATGATCTTCAGAATTTGTTCTTAATTTGCCACAATTTTTGACAGCTGTTTTCCCAGAAGTGCTTGAAGGGATGGGGATACATACTTGTTTTCATTGTAGTGAAAGAAGTTTGGTTAAATCCAGTTAGAGGCAGCACTGGAGAGAGACATTTGGTGACTGAAGAACATATTTGCTATAAATATAGCTGAAAACTTGAAAATTACTAGGGATGGGAAGTATTTTTGCTTTCTGCTGGGGAATAATAATCTAATCCTGTGTTTGTCTCAGTGATAAAGGTAAAATAATAACAACAGTTGAGGCAAAATATATGTTTCATTCAAGTATTTATTCTGATTTTGTTCTCATGTCTTTCATTCCTGCCAAATAATTCCACTTTGCAGAAGTGGGATTTAATTATGTGAGGCTGGGCCCAGTCATCAGATCAGCTGGAGCATCTGTGCTCCCCATGAAGTCAATGCTGAAGTCACAGATACTCTGTGAGAGTGAGTGAGGGGGTTGTATAGAGGAGACTTCTGTGCCTCTGCATGCTTTGATCCCCTGCTGTCATAAAATCAGCAAAGAAAGCAAAATTTAATGTCTGAAGTTTAAGCATGTGTGACCTGTATTCTGCCCTAGTTCCCCTGGAGACTTTTTTTTTCTTTACTTATTTTTCTATCTCAGTTGTACCAGAGAGAGACATCTCCTTTGTTTTATAAACTTTCTGTGTGGTCGGTGTATTTTGAATTCAAACCTTCCTGAAAAGATAGCTTTGTTAACACGCTTTTCAATGTTCTGATGACTTTGGGAGATCTCTCATAGTTCTTACTGGATGTAAATGGATCAATGGAACCTTTTGCCAAAAGCTGTAAATCATAAGGCTTTTGTTGGTATTATTTTCTTCTCTATAAATATAGAATAGAATACAATGATCATTTAGTCCAACTGCTGAGTCCAACTATGTAAGGATAATAACCTGGGATCACACTTGTTAATGTGATAAACTGGATTGAAAGAAAATGGGAAAGATTATTAAATATATGCAATAAAATTCTGCTCACTTTTTGGCTTACGTTCATATTGCCTACATTAGAAATGAACCCTACACCTAGTTGTTTGAATGTTTTTCTCAATCTCAAGCATTCAGAGAAGTTTAATTTTAAAATTCTGGTATAACTGCTTTTTAGAAAACCTCATCTTGCTAAAGACCAGTTAAAAATACAGATAGAAATTTTCTCTTTCAAATATATTGTAACCTAAATGGGCCTAAGTAGTGACTGGTGCAGATAAGTTTACTGGAAAGCATGGTACTTACTGGCCTGTACACACAGTTGAATGGATCTGTTTCTTAGAAGCAGGAGAGTAGTGCAAAACCTGCACATGGTGGAAACTCGTTCATGATGGCCTTTAGATAAGAAAGCCCAAATCCACCTTGATTCCCTGTTTTCATTAAAGCATACTTCAGATTATCCATACTTCAAAGTGAAATAACCATAAGG